CTAGTTCTGTTCTTGAAAGTCCCTAAGTTGTATCGGTCCGGAAAACATCATCATTCATCATCATTACAGCCCTTCACAAGTCCACTGCTGAACATAGGCCTCCCCCAAAGAATGCCACAAAGCACGGTCCTGAGCCACCTGCATCCATCGACTTCCTGCATGTCTTACCAGGTCGTCACTCCATCTCGTGGGGGGACGCCCTACACTTCGCCTACCGGTACGAGGCTGCCACTCGAGAACCTTTCTTCCCCATCGGTTGTCGGTTCTTCGAGCTATATGGCCGGCCCACTGCCACTTCAGCTTACTAATCCGTTGGGCTATGTCGGTTACTCTGGTTCTACTGCGGATATCCTCATTCCTAAGTTTATCACGCAGAGAAACTCCGAGCATAGCCCTCTCCATAGCTCGCTGAGCGACCTTGAGCTTCCTCATACGGCCAGCAGTGAAGGACCACGTCTCAGTTCCATAAGTCATCACTGGCAACATGCACTGGTTGTACAATTTCGTTTTCAGGTTTTGAGGTATGTCTGACGAGAAGATGTGTCGTAGCTTCCCGAACGCTGCCCAGCCGAGTTGAATCCGTCGATTGACCTCTCGGTCGAAGTTGGACTTACCTAGTCGGACTATTTGTCCCAGGTAAACATACTCGTCAACAACTTCGAGCTTAGTGCTCCCAACAACTACCGGCATAGGTGTGACATGGACATTGAACATGATCTTTGTTTTGTCCATGTTCATCTTAAGACCTATCCGTTGGGAAACACTATCGAGGTCATTGAGCATAGTGCTTAGGTCCTCCAGCAATTCTGCCATAAGGACTATATCATGGCAAATCGAAGGTGAGTGATGTACTCGCCATTGATGTTGATACCGTATCCTTTCCAGTCCAGAAGCTTGAAAACGTCTTCCAATGCAGCGGTGAAGAGTTTCGGGGATATGACGTCACACTGTCTTACACCTCTCTGCAATTGGATAGGTTTCGTACTCTGGTTCTGTACTCGGATAGCCATCGTAGCCCTACTGTACAAGCACTTCAACACTTCGATATACCGACAGTCAACTTGGCACCGCTGAAGGGACTGCAGCACCGCCCAAATTTCGACGGAATCAAAGGCTTTCTCATAGTCCACATACGCCAGACATAGTGGCAAATTGTACTCTTCGGACTTCTGTACAATTTGCCGAAGGCTATGTATGTGGTCTATGGTGCTAAAGCCCTTTCGGAAACCGGCTTGTTCGGGAGGCTGGAAGTCGTCAAGTCTGCGCGCGAGACGATTCGTAATGACTCTCGAAAACAGCACATAGACGCGGCTCAGAAGGGAAATCGGTCTGTAGTTCTTCAAGAGAGCGTTGTCACCTTTCTTGAAGAACAAGACCACCGCACTTCTGCTCCACGCCTCCGGTGTAATGCCACCATGGAGGACGGAATTTAAGAGCTTCTGAAGGACTTCAAGTACCGGTCTTCCACCCGCTTTCAGAAGCTCCGCTGTAATTCCATCCTCGCCTGGGGCCTTACCGTTTTTAAGGTGCTGGAGATCCATTCTAATCTCGCTCAGACTGACGTCCGGGATATCTTCGGAATAGTGTCGGATGAGACTCGCTCTTGGATCGTTACTCACACTTGCGTGTGGCTCCAACGATGACGTGTACAGCTGCCCATAGAACCTCTCAATCTCACTCAAAATCTCAGGTGTCCCGAAAACGATGCTGCCACATTCTGTCTTCAGCTTTGACAGGTGGCTCTTTCTGGCAGACAGATCTCTGGCAAAGACTTTGGAGCCTTGGTTCCGCTCGATCATTTCTTCAATACGAGCTGTATTGAAGTTGCGTAAGTCCCGCCGCATGCATTTGGAGATCTGTCTGTTCAGTTGCCTGTATGCTGTTAAATCTGTTGAAGAATGTAGCTTCATCTCCCGTCTAACAGCCATGAGATTAAGAGTGTGATCGGTGAGTTTTTGTGTTCTTCTGCGGCGGGTCTTGCAGAACTTAGCTCCGACCGCATGGACAGTTTCCACGAGCTTGTCATTCAAATCGTCCACTTCATTGCAGTCTTCTAGGCACTGAAAACGGTTTTGTAACTCGAGCTGAAAGGTTTCGGGACTTTGGAACAGAGCACGAGGGGGACGGAGCGTTGACTTCATTAGACGAGACCTCTCCAACTTAACGTTTAGGTTCAGTGTACCTCTAACCATTCGGTGATCGCTACCAGTTTTCACCCTCGCGATCTCGGAGACATCACTGAACATTTGTCATCTGGTCGTCATAATGAAGTCAATCTCATTTTTTGTCGAACCGTCGGGGCTCGACCAGGTCCACTTCCTGTGGGGCCGCTTCTGGAAGAAAGAGTTCATCATAAAGAGTCCCTCTTTCTCCATGAAGTCGGCCAGCTGCTGGCCCCTTGGGTTCCGTTGCCCTATTCCAAATTTCCCTACTTTCAGCTCACCGTTCTCTCTTGTGCCTAGTTTTGCATTGAAGTCTCCCATTAACACCGTATATTGGGTTTTGGAGGAATGCATGGCTCTAGAGATATCCTCATACATTTCCTCCACCTCCTCATCGGGGTGTGCCGAGGTTGGTGCGTAAACCTGTATGACCTTCAGCGAATACCGTTTGGTGATTCTGAGTATAAGGTACGCAACCCTCGTCGACACACTCCCGATCTTTACAACGTTGTTAACGAGAGACTTGTGGACGATAAATCCGACACCTCCTTGGGACAGATGGTCGACCTCCCGGTAATAGAGCAAGTTGCCGGATTCGAGGATTACCGTGTCCTCCCCCTCTCTTCGGATTTCGGATAATCCTATAATATGCCAGCGTAACTTGTCTATCTCTTCTTCCAGCTCCACAATCTTCTCTTCAGTCCTCAGGGTGCGTGCGTTGTATGTTGCCAGGTCGAGTCGTCTAAGGTGGCAACCGAACCTCCACCGGAGATTCTTAGCACCCCCTGCCCCGCCGTTACCATGGTCGCCACCGTAGCCAGGAATAGCGGGGCCGCCGGGGACTGGGGGCCGTCTCTTTGTTACATTCATTGGGAGGGTATTTGCCATAGTTGCCACGCTTGGCGAGCGGGTTGGCAACCGCAGTTTTTTTATTGTAATTTTGGCTATTATCAGGAAGATGCTGCTGGCCATCTCCTGCCTGTTTCCCTTTGTCGCCTTTTACGACACCCACGGGAGGATATGGGGTAGTGGATATTCTTGACCGCCACTACACATCGCCGGTAGTAAACTATTCCACAAAGATGTCGTACGAGGAAAAAACTTTTAGTAAAATGTACAGTGGTGGACAGTCAAGCATCCAGATGGATGGTGTGGATCGTATCAGGAGTTTTGCCGCGATGTGCGTTCGTGAAATTTGGCGGCTAGGATTAATTCGAACAAATCCTTAGAACACTCCCCCTGGTAGATGTGAAAGAAAATACAAAGGTAATCTACTGTAATGCAACATCTCTTCGCAGCACCAGTGAATCGAGCCGACCGGAAAGGACTTGGTTGTCGACAAGTCGAGCCACTATGCGCTGGATGTGGTCTAGTGGAAAAAGTTAGCACTGCGGAGCCCTAGCCCAGAGATGGGAGCAGTATTTCATGTGAGGCCGAACCCGTGCCTTGTAAAGTTGCAGGCGGTGTGCCGGATGAAATACTGTCCCGCTCTGCTGAGCACGTCAAGCTTTTTAGAGGCCAATTTGGCCTTCTCTTCCAAGTGGCCACGAAACATATAGGTACATTTTATTTACATGCATATTATTAATAAATCCATTGTATAAATCCATAGTATAAATATAAACATTAAAGTTTAATGTACTTACGTAGTACATATTACTACAATAAATATAATATAATAAAAATCATACTCCCTATTTTAGTGCAGCTATCCGAATGGAAAACTATTCGAACGGAAGCTCGTAACGGGAGTCATAGATTGTTGTATATATAATATTATGACGGGATTGTTACGATAAATTCTAAACTTATCTACCTATAGGAATGTATGATAAGCATATTTCTATTTCCGTTTCCGGTAATTCCTGTAGAATTGTTATTATATTTTAGTTACTATGATAATTAATTTTTAATTAAAATATTTCTTTTTTTATTTAAATTTATGCTTATCACACATTGGTGTCTTGGTGGTGTTAAGCAATAAAATCTAAAAGTTTATTTACTGAAATATATTTTTAACTACGTTCTACGTAGCAACAATGTCAAATAATTGGAGCTATTTTTATTATTTACATACATTTTTATTATATACAACATGGCTCAGGACAACATTTTAAGTAAAATAATGCCGCATTTTGAAAAATTGGGATATAACTTACTCTTTTAAGAGATAAGCTATAGTTACAATAATAATTAATATGTTGCACTCTCCTCATTTTTCCTTTTTTTTTTGCTGAATAATCAGGCGCGAAAGCTATGTCATAGAAATGCTTGTACTTGATTGGTTGAAATTTTCGAAAGTACCAACCTCAGAAATGCTGTAATAATTTGGCTATGTTGTCAGAATTATTACCAGTTGTGTAGGCAGGTAAATTTCGTCGCTTTGCTGAATAAAATGTATTTTTCTTTAATGGTTTTTAACACGATAACGGCATAGTAATAGATAAAATATTGCAAAGAAAATTCATCTTTAAACTCTATGTTTTAAATGTAAGTATTAATATACTGTTTTCGTGTTTCGAGAACTTTTCTTTTTAAAAGGTTGTGGTCCTGCAAAAGTAGCTGCACAATTGATAGAGTGCGATAGTCGCGAAAGAAAAATGTATTAATTTTGGTATAAACAAGTGCATTGAAAATGTGTGTATTTTTTTATAAATATTTTTATTTTATTCAACAAACTTTACCACAAAGTGTGAATGAATAAAAGTGAGTTTTGCTTCGAGATGATTTTTACTTGACAATATTTTATTTTTAAATACGTTACAGGTGGTCAATAATGATTTGCAAAAGATAATCAAACATCTGTAATGGTTCGGCTTGTGTTTTCATGGCTGAGAAATGGAGAGGCAGCAGACTAATACACTTCAAAACTTTGACGATCCGAAAACAGAAATTTTGAAAAAAAGATTATTAAAAGCTGCGAACTCTAACTTTAGTACTAATTTGACGCAGAACAGTTCGCAGCATAATGTGCTCTTAAATACATTGCGCGTGAGTTGAGCTAAACTCATAAATTACTCTAATTATGGTTTGCACATATTGACTTTGTTTACCATTTTTCAGGCGCCGATCTCGAGCAGCATGATCGTGTCCTCGGTGCAGGCGCCTCAGAGCTCTATGTCAATCCCTCACAATTTAGTTACACATTCTATAGCTCCTGTGAAAATTCACACTAATAATTCTCCATATCCATTGCAACTTTCAACTGTACATGTACCAGTGCAAATACCAGGTTCCACTTCTAATATTAATGTCCCTGTTCAATTATCAGGTGCTACAAGCACAGTACCATTACAAATAGCTCCCGTCAGTCTTCCATTGCAAGTTTCAGGTACTACAAATGTACCAGTTCAATTACCAGCTGGTGAAACAATTAATGTTCCTCTGCAATTACCAACAGCTAGTCAGAATATTCAATTGACAGGACAAACATTGCCATCTATGCCTCTTTTGCAAAGCCCGGCGCAGCCACTTCACAGTTCAATAATTCATGTCCATATGGGATCAAATCCCAGACCCACAAATATTGAGGCAAATTCTGATATGAGTGTGTCAAGTTCTACTCAGCTCCAACTTCCAGATTCATCTGCGGTTCAAGTAAAAATGAATAATTCCACATCAGTATCCCAAGTACAAGTTGGTGCTAACTCTGCTGTTGTACAAATCCCCAACTCCTCTAACAACCCTATACAATTGTCTTTACCCAACTCTAATTCTGGGACTGTACAGCTACGAGGTGGACCTAGAACTGTCCCTCATGTAGTTTACATACAAACACCAACTGGTCTGAAACCAGTTACAAGTACAGAGGTGATAAGCCAAGCCAGCACTAGTGGTAATCCACCACAAATAATAGTAAGAAGACCGGTAAGTACAATTAGCATTTAACATCAATATATATTTGTATCAACAATTAAATATTAATATTTATAATATATTTAAAACTTAAGACTTGTTATGGGGTTACATAACAGTGTATATTTATGGTTTTCTAATGATTATCTTAATTCTTTAAAATAATATTACAAACTAAACTTGATACAGCATTAAAAATTTTAGTTAAGAATATTTTGATATCAATAAATCCTTTTCAATATAATTAAAAAAAAATATGTCAATATTGATGTGCGACTTGGTACTAGTGCATACTATTTTCAATCATAATTTGTAGTGTTGTTTATGAAATTTTGTGTAGGTATTGAAGGTTTATAGAATTTGAATTAAAACGGGTTTTGTTTGATAGTTAATTGCAATCCTGCTTTGTAATAATTATTAAATAGTCTCATTAAAATTATTTTACATCGCACATGTAACATCACTTTTATATTGTTATTTATTTATTCTAACAAAATTATAGCCTTCAAATAAACATCTAACAGTACAAAATAACCTTATAATAGTTTTTCCACATACTGTGAAATCATAACTTCCATTGTGTATAATAGGTTTGCATTGGGGCTACTAGTTTACTAATGCTATCTGGTGTAACAAAATGGAAAAATGATTTATGAACTATGCATGTACCTAAACAAAGCATAATTAGTATGTTAAATGAAGATTAGTAATTAGGATATAATGTTATAACTGTGTATATTTGTGTATGTATGTATTGGTAGATTATTATTAGTGTATATTATTTAATAAGATGTGTTAAGTACGGATTGTATGCAAAATGTATAGATTCAGATACAGATTCTTTATTTGCCACAATATAGGTACAGGTATAAGATGGTACATTACTAAGTGTTTCCGCTACATTCTACCTTACGGCATGCAAAGTCATAAAAACTAAAAGATACAATTCTGATAGCAAATTAACTAGTAATATATCATTTATATATAATGTAAATTCTCGTTTAAATCTATTTTTATATATATATTTATCATTTAAAAGGTCTTAAACAATAATAACATTTTTTTTAATAATAATGCAGTCAGCTTAAATTTAAATATCTTATAGGATGTTCGTTATAAGTGTGTGGAATTTTATTGTATATTATAGGCCCTATTGACATGATATTTTTTCTAATTAGTGCTGTTTTGTAAGTACCAGTATGTAATAAGTTTTTATACTGTATTCTCATATTTGTTAATATTTTAGTTACATGTATATCCTTCCATATCTGGTGGAAACACATTAATCGGGATTGATTAAGACCATTTAATTTTGCATATTATTTTCGTTAAAAGTACATTTTTCTGAAAAGTATTTTACTACATAATTACTCTCCCAAACATTATCTGGGATTTAGAGTTTATCTTTAGAGGGTAAATTTGAAATAGATGTATGTAATAAATATAGTTAACGACAGCTCTATTTTATTCTGAACATTTCCAAAAAATAAAACAATTAATCTTAGATACCTATTTTAAATTAATCTCAAGCAATTGTAGAGGTAAAAAATATATTGGCAAAATCAGAACTAAATCAACAGTTAGGCTTTATAAAAGCTAACTATGGTTTTGTCTATGAAACTAGTTTAAAATTAGAAGAAACAATGCTTCCACTCACACAGTCAGTTGAACTAATAAACATGTTTAAAAAAATCTTGTAGTGTTGTTAAAATTAAATAAAAAACGAAATACCATTTTAAATAAAAACCGGTTTTGAAATTTTGAATAGTTTTTGAAAAATTATTTGTGGAGAATTCAGCGAATTGGGAATTGAAGCCAATATTGTGCCATTACTGAAAATCGCTCCAACTACATCAGTAGATATTGAACACAGTTTTTCAACAAAAATAAACATTTAGTATTGGACAGGAGACAGTCATTTGATCTGAATAATTTAGTTAATATTCAATGTTACATGCAAAATAATGATTTTTAACTTAATTTACTATTATTTTATTTTTATTATTGCTGATATAATAATTACTATTTATATAAATACTAATTTTCAAGCAGCAATAGATATGTAATTTTATTGTGTACTTATAGTACGTAACAATGATTGAAGAGACAGTAAGATTTTGAGGGGGGTATTATATATTGAAGCTTGCTAAGAGTTAAGGAATACCACATGGACATCAAAAAAATATAATTTGTGTAAACCTAAATATAATTTACTGATTTTCCCCCTACTTACTTGTATGAGAACCTTTCTTCCATATTGGCTTTCTATTCTTTGAGTTAAATGGCCAGCTGATTGCCACTTACACAGCTTTCTGACCCATTTGGCTAAGTTGCTCTAGTTCTACTACAGATATTTTCATTATTATTTATTCTATCATATAGAAAAATTTATGCATAGCCCTTTTCATAGCTTGCTGAGTGATTTAAAGCTCCCAAAGGTATTGGTTTCACAAGTCGTCATTGGCAACATGCACTACTTTTTTTATGGTTTTGGGGCATACTAGATGTGATGATGTGCAGCCAAGTTGAATCTATCAAACAACTTTTGATTGAAGTAAGACTTATTTAGGCAGTTTATCCTAAATAAACTTATTCTTCCACAACTTTGAACATAGTGTTCCCAACAACTATTATAATAGTGTGATATGAATGTTATTTATCAACTTACTCTTTCCTATGTTTGTCTTAAGATCTATACCATTTGAAGACAATATTGATGTCACAGAGCATGGTCAGATCAGGTCTTCCAACTGCGGTAATGACTATATCCTCGGTTAATGGAAGACAAGTGATGTATTTGCCTATCAGTATTAACATTAAAATGTTAATACCGATACACCTCCGTCCGTCTCCGTGCCTAGTAGGAGGACCGCAGCTAAACATTTTGTTATAGTGCAAATTCAAATCATTTTCATTTCTCACTAGTGATCCGCCTGCCTTCACACGGGTGATTTCTGGATCTCGACAACAGAGCCACCTACCGGATCCAATTGTAAATCTTAACCATCCAGAGACCTATTCAAACAATAAATTTCATCAAAATCAATTAATCTGTTTTTGAGTATTAGCGAGACTAAAGGACAGCAATTGATTTTTATATGTACAGATGGATTGTTGATGCAATAGTACAAGCTGTAATTCTTTTTAGGGTTCCGTACCCGAAGGGTTATAAATAAATAAATAAATAAAATAGCCTTTATTTCTACTACAATGCAAACTTGACACATGATTAATCTAGGTTATAATAGTATAGTATAATTAATATGTATTTTTGTTATATGTATAATTATGTATGTATATATATGACTTAATTAATATTAGTAGTAGTCGCCTCTGCGGCATAGGCCTCTTCTTATTATCCTATTACCTTTCCATATATCTCTTTCTCGACCACCACCCGAAGGGTTACCAAGGGTAAATTAAGAAGGGTTACCCTTGGTTACCCTTCTTAATTTACCCTTTAATAATAATTAAGCCTCCGCTGTCCATCTGTCCATCTGTCTGTCTGTTAGCAGGCTGTATCCATGATCCGTAATATGTAGACAGTTGAAATTTTCACAGAAATTGTATTTACAAACAGATAATAAAAATTTAAAATTAAAGGGGCTTCCCTACTAGAAACATGTAATTTTTAGTTTTTTGTTTTGCTCCTTCTTAATAATGGCAACGAGTGGATGCTTGAAATGCTCACAGAGTTTGTATTGCCATAATATAAAAAGTACCTACATAGTATTAAAAGTTGGATGATGGTAGGGAACCCTTCATGCGCGAGTCGCACTCGCACTTGGCCGGTGTTATTACTAAAATGAAAGGATCTGGTCAAAAGTAAAGCATTTATTGAAAATCTTGTAGTAAGATAATTTTTTACACAAATTGGTAATGTAAGGGAGTGAGCAAATTTTCTCTAACACTCATACTGCCCCATTTCTACATACCACAATGTTTACACTTTTTGAGGTTTGTGTTAAATAGCATCTTTAGCAGTATTTATTTCTCTTTTGTCTGATTATGATAAATTATGTTTTTTATGCGTAGATTGTTTATAAAATATAATAAATAATGAGAACCGAAGATGCCTCTTACTGATAACAAGGCATTATATCTTATTTCTCAAAGTTCACAATGCATTTGCATTTTGATTTTAATGGAAGATAGATGTATGGTAGGCCACAATATCCACTTACCATCTGGTGGACTTCATGCTTGTTTGTCAACTTTTCTAGAAAACTTAAAATGTTATCCAGTATAATATACTAGATATCATGGTTATTAAAAAAGATAATGTCTGAATATTAAAAATGTTTATTATATAAATATCTATATTTATAGTTCATAAATTGTAAGCCCCTAGAAGCATCACCAATTGAATTAGATGAATTACTGTGTACATTCAGATAATAGTTAAATAACTCTCTTATTATGTTATTGTAATATTTTATTTTGTTTCAGGTTACCAGTAATTCCAATATTCATTTAATATCAAATATGAACAATAAGCCAAATATTGCACAAATTCCAAAAGTGCCAGTCCAGAATAAATCGTCTATTCTAGCCCCTGCAAATGTTTCTCAACCAATTGTAATCCAAAAGCCCAAAACAAATGATAAAATGATGGTTCCAGTCAGTATTGCTCCAGGAGCCCAAGGAAAACAGGCAATCGCTTACCTAGGATCTGTAAAGAAAACAAATACAAAAAGCTTATCAGAAAATCAATCAATCCTTATATCGAACAATCAATCAAATGTTAATTCAAATAATCAAAAACTTTTCTTGACTCCTATGAATATGCCCAAGATACAAAACACTAAATTTATTTTGCCTGTAACATTGCCAGCCACAATGGCCTCAAAAGGTCCAATAATCAACTTACAAATTGCTAATGGACAAATTCAAAATGATCCTCAAGGAAACATAACTGTTATGAGAGATACTGCGACTATGGAGACATCAGAAATGCCACCGTTGCAGCCTTTAGCAACATTAGTAAATGTAAATGGGAAGGATAATGCAGTGCCACAGAGTCCTAAAAATGATAAATCATTTGCAATATCTATACCTGGTTCAAGAGCTGAGCCTACTGGAGAGCAGGGTGAATACACTTTATCAATACCTGAAACAAATGCCTCTATGAATGATGACATTTATACAGTGTCTATAGCAGATGAAGAAGGTGGCCAAACTCGAGAGAAATCATTTACTTTGGCCATCCCAGAGAAAAGTAAAAGTTTATTAAATAAAAATGTTATTGATAGATCTGAGGTTGGACCCGCCCCTGTGGCTGCCCCAGCAATTCTTCGGCGTTCTAATTCTGATAATAGTGAAAGAAAAATTTCAAATGCAAGTATTAAGAGACGCATTTCACTTTGCAACGAAAATTTATCAAATAAAACTATCAAGCTTTCGATTCCACAGATAAAAACAGATAAAATGGAAGCTAATACGGATACAGATATGAATGATGACCATCGTGTGCCATCTTTATTTTGTGATGAGCAATTGGACAAAGATTTGGATATTAGAACTAATGTTGAAGATTCTGATCCTGATGATAATAAGGAAAAAAATAAACCGACTACAGATAAAACCAATGATGTTTTGTATAACCAACATTTGAACAAATATAATTCAAAGGATAGTAAAAGAGGCAACGATAGTAGTGAGCCTAGTTCAGAAGAAGATCCTCCAGGTTTGCTATGGAGCAATGGTATTGCACAACTACAGGGTAGCAAATTACAATTCCAGACAAATGAATTTGGTCTTATCGACTTGGTTGAAAGCAGTGATCACGATACAATACTTATGAATCCGAGTGCCAAATATCATACGCCAATTAAACAACGAATAGAAAGAAACAGTAGGGATAAGAAGCCTACGTCACCAGAGGATTTATACCGTTGCGATGGGTGTGGGTGTCACGGAATGGCGGCGGAGTTCATTACTCCTAATTACTGCAGTTTGACTTGCCAAACAGAAGCCCAGAAGATAAGCCAGAAGAAAGAAAGAGCGGAATTGGCGAAAAAAAGGCATAAAATGAAAAAATTGTTGATGAGAAAGCAACTGTCTGATTCAGATTTGTTGCAAGAAACTAAGGACGACAAAGTTTCTCTCAAACATTATGAGTCAACACCAGTTGAAACCCAAATATCAGAAGCTGCATTACTTAAAATGGGTGACGATTTAATTGAGGATGAGAAATATCCATGGATGTGTGGTAAAAATGGATTCTCATGGATGCGCTATCTAGATATTTGTAAGGCTAAAGCTGCACCTGTCAAGTTATTCAAAGATCCATTCCCTTACAATCGAAATCGTTTTAAAGTGGGCATGCGTTTAGAAGCAATAGACCCTCAACACCCTTCGCTCTTTTGTGTGGTATCAGTGGCGGAGGTGCAGGGATATCGGATGCGTCTACATTTCGACGAATATCCTGATCTGTATGACTATTGGGTAAATGCAGACTCTATAGATATATTTCCGCCTGGGTGGTGCGAGAAGAATGGGCGTTTGTTAACACCACCTGCTAGTTACACAGTGGAGACGTTTTCTTGGCCGTTGTATCTGAAGAAAATGCGGGCTGTTGCTGCGCCGAGACATCTCTTCCCTCATATTACGTCTACAGTAAGTATTCATTTTTTTATACACATTATGGTAAATAATTTATTAATTAATAGTGCAAGTAGGAATTTTTTTGCCATTGAGGTAAGGCCGGCAATGCATCTGCAATTCCCCTGGTGTTGCAGTTGTTCATGGGTGGTGGTAGTCACTTAACATCAGGTGAGCCGCATGCTCGTTTGCCTCCTATCCTCTCTCTCCTATAAAAAATCTGTTTTATAGTGAAATAATTGTTTTCTTTGTATATTTTTAAATACTACATGTAGCATAATATGCATACTAAATTCTTTTTATTTTTATTTTTTTTTTATTTTTATCTTATTTTTTTATTTTTTTGGATTCGTGGCGTAGTGGCTTAGCAATAGGGCCGCGGGTTCGAATCCCGCACGGAACAAGTATTTGTATGGCCTACAAATAATTGTTCCGGGTCTGGATGTTTGTCCTTGTGCAATTTATGTTTGTAAACTGCCTCCACGACACAGGAGAAAATCCTAGTGTGGGAGTAACGTTTTTAAAAAAAAAAATAAAAAAAAAGAATACTAAATGTAGCAAATTTTTATGATTTAGGTATCAACGATAGTGTTAACTACCCTATTTACAATACATAATTTAATGAATTTCTCTTTTTATTTGCAACAGCATATAAAAATCAAAAAATCAAAATAATTATAGTTCTACTCCAACTTTTAATAAGTGGTCTGTGAAACTAATTGAACATTGTCACGTTATGTTAATTTTGGAAAATGGTTCCAAGTTTCTCTCCCCAGATTTTTAGTTTTGGATACAAGGCTTATTCAAATTTGAACTGTTATAAACTAATAACGATGAAGCTACAAGACCATGGTATGTTTCAGATGGTAAAACCGAACGGCTTCCGCATCGGAATGAAGCTAGAAGCTGAGGACTTGCACAACGATATGGTGTGTGTAGCAAGCGTGGCAGACATGCTAGATAACCGGCTGCTGATCAACTTCGACGGCTGGGACTATGTTTATGACTACTGGGCAGACCCCACGTCGCCCTATATACACCCAGTCGGCTGGGCCAAACAGAATGGATACGTGTTGACACCACCCAACGGTAGGTCCCCTTTTCTTTTGCTTTTAATTTTTAATTTGACATTACATTTATTTTTTACCTAATACCTACAAAATAATTAAATAACGTGGTTGCCAAACCATCTGCCAAGAGTGACAATTACGTCAAATATCCCCCCCTATAAGGCAATCTATGGGGGAGGCTTATGGTCAGCAGTGGTATGTTTTAGGCTGTAATGACGATGATGATGATGTTAACCAATACAAATAGATATTATTTTCCATACTCATTTGTTTCGGTTATAGTAATGAAACTTCTTCATCGCTAGTAAATATGTTATGAAATTAAATTAAATGTTTTTATTTTTCTTTGTAAGGCATTAAAATTTTGTTTTGCAAATGTCCCTTTTTTAAATTAAGTACTGCTTTCAACTACTGTTTCCATATGAGGTTTCTATTATTTAAAAAAAAACTGACGTATAAAACTAGTAATTCCACAGCCAATCGTACAATAAGTTTATAAAAATAAGAAACAAAAAGCTCCCAAGTGCATTTATAAACCCATCAAGTAATACACCTCGTAAACAGCACCGATTCAAAAGTATGACAATTGTGGCAGTCTTCGCCCTCCTCTGGTAATTTGCTGGTACCTCTCATAAATGACAGGTGGCCTGCATCAAGTAGTGAGACACACTATGCGCACTGTTACTATACTTTACCGAATGGGTTAAGAATAAAATGGGTGTGTTTATTTTAATAGTAAACTGAGTTATCAAAAAATTAGTTCATAAATCTATACAAATAAATAAAATTGAAGTGTCTGTTTGTAATGTCAAAATTACACTGTTTTACTAAATGCATATGAAAGTATAAACGGTACTTACAACAAAAAACACTTTTAAAGTTTTGTCTGTCTGTCTGTCTATTTGTTCCGGATAATCTCCGAAACGGCTGGACCTATTTTGACGGGACTTTCACTGGCAGATAGCTGATGTCATAAGAAGTAACTTAGGCTATTTTTATTTAAAAAAAAATAATTAGCGTTACTCGCAAAAAAAATTAAAACCCTAAATTACACGCGGGCGAAGTCGCGGGGTAATACTAGTTCATAATAAAGTTTTTATAGCGTCAAGGAATACGCCTCTTCCTATCTCTTCTCTACATAATATAAAACAATGTCGCTTCCCGCCGTCTGTACGCTTAGATCTTTTAAACTACGCAACGGATTTTGATGCGGTTTTCATCAATAGACAGAATGATTCAAGAGGAAGGCTTATATGTATAATACATGCATATTATATAACTCTTCTGTCCGTGTGTATGTGACAGAACGCCACCTAAAGGTCTGGATCAGTTTTGATGAAATTTTGTGTGTGTGATTAAGTTGATTAGAGAATGGTTTAGATTCACAATTGGATTCGTTAGGTAGTGTTGTTGTAGAGATCCAGCAATCAACCGTGCGATGCCGGGTCGCTAGTTGAAGATAAAACTCTTTAGATATTCTTCTACCTATATATAGATTTTAGTCTGCCTTTACATTTTCCATATAGCTATGCCTGAAAAGGTACGTGTGATTGTTTGTGCTGTGTGTAATATTTAGTAAGTGAGGTTCGCTTTGTAGTGGTGACGTAAGAGAATCGAGTACCCAATATCATCCCGTGGGTGTCGTAAGCGGCGCCACAGGGAAATTAAACAGGAGAGAGTCAACAGTACCTTCCTAATAAAAGCTCAAAATAATGAAACACTGCGGTTGCCAAGTGTGGTAACTACGGCAAATACCCCGCGCCACAAGCGGAACCCATCGAAGCCTAAATCACGCTATCAAAATTCCGAAGTATTGCGGTATATATCGAATAGGTCCGAATTACCACTCGAAACGTCGGTCGCTCTCCGGGCCGACCGCCTTGCCCGACGAGAGGTCTCACCATTTCCTTCAACGGCAAACCCTCTTTGAGGCAATCTATGGTATGGAGGCATTTGTTAATCAGTGAACTTTAGATAGGTTGTAATAAAAGGAAATGATAATGAATGATTGCTTATGTGTGCAAGGCAATTAATTAAAAAAAAAAAACGTTTTCCACACATTTACAACAGCTCGTCGTCTGTGTGCGTGAAATCTATCGAATAAAAATGACAGTGATAAATCAGGTTGTTGTATAACACTTGTATTCGGTTGTTATTGCTTCGTCCGTATAAATTTGGATTCGTTCTCAGGCGTTCCCTGCTAGTCTTGGTGTATGTCTAATGTGATGTTATATAAGTGTCTCGCGCTAAAATATACGTCAGTAATCCTTTACAAATGAACATCATAGCAGTCTGATTTAAAAAAAAATAATGGTTACAAACGACGAGCACACAATCCACCTTACACTTACATCTGCCTTGATTAAGAATAAAAATACGGAGGGCTAAGATAGAATGCCTCGTAACCAGTAAAAGGGTCCCTGGTTCTCTGCACTCACCATACGTAACAGCAGCTTTAGGCTGCTATGCATTATGTTGCAATTTTATGCCAGTATTTAGTGCAAGCGTAGCGCTTCCCCGGTCGAGCAGACCCATTTTTGCCGCAGCCATAATCCAGCCGTAGTATTTTTTCTATTAAACTGAAGCGACAAACGAACTTACAATCCACCTTACCACACACTTGCCATCAAGTGGCTACTGCAGTCTATGGACACCTACAGCTGACTTCAAAGTTCTTTAAGGTTCCAGACGGAATGCTGAATAGCTTGTAATTATACTGGTTCTCTATACCCTTCACATCGGGACACAATATTGCAAGCATTACTATTTAGAGACAAGAATATGTAAGAGGGTGGTATCTACTCAGATGGACTCCTAGGCAGAAAATGAGTCCAGTTCTACCACATAGAAAGTATGGCTTTACCACAATTTTCTTTTTCAAAACATAACCGTCAGCGTGGAGGCAGTTTACATACATTCATTGCACAAGGACGAACATCCAGACCCGGAAAAATTACTTCTAGGCCATACAAATACTTGTACCGCGCGGGATTCACTTAGCCTAACCTACTCGCGCTCGATGTCAACGCTTAACGCGGTAAGAAATAAGCTAGGGTACAAAACAAGCGATTTCAAATGTTGGTTTTGCCTAAAGTTTGCGTTGTATATTGCTGTCATAAGAAAAAAAACATGTGTGTAGTTCACACGCAGTAGAAGTGAAGCCTTCAAATTAAATGAAATATAAAACAAAAATTTGACAGCAAATGATTTAATTAATAGAATCAGGCGTTACTTTGCGGAAATCCATTATAATGGGGTTTGTTATAAACTGATTTGCTTAATTCCGCGTAAAGAAAGAAAATGATGTGTCCTGCCCAGTTTTAAGGGGCCCTCCCAGCCTCCCTCAATCGTGCGCACTATACCCGTCGCCATCGCCCGTGCCTAGTGTGGTGGTCCTGGGGGTGGTAGTGCTGGGATTGACGGCGACGGGTATAGTGCGTACCAGAACAGAAGAATCACTCTCTGACAGCAAACTTGCGAGTTTAAACCTAGTTACAACGTCGCTAATGTTCATAATACTTTGCACGCCTCGGAAGCGACCTTCGTGAAATTAGCCTACGTCGAAACAAAAATTAATTCATAATCGCGTATTTAATCAAAATGCACCTTACGTTCGCGTGCGAGTGTCTGTATTACTTAGCCCGTTACGGCCTCTTAAGGCCGCCCCTACTGTAGGGTTAGGTGTTGTGAGAAAATAAATTGAATCCTTTGATATTAGTTGGTAGGTATATAGTAAAATATACCGAGGTGTTATGGAATGTATTAGTATTTTATTGTTAAAAAAAGTTGCCCCCCTACTAGGATTTTCTTCTGTATCGTGGAGGCAGTTTACAAACATAAATTGCACAAGGACAAACATCTAGACTTAGAACAATTATTTGTAGGCCATACAAATACTTGTTTCGTGCGGGATTCGAACTCGCGGGTCCCGGCGTTGTAATTCATTGCTAAACCACTGCGCCACGCAGCCGTCAATTTGCTGACAATAAAAATATTATTGTTCAATGTGAGGAAGGTAACCATCGAGAAAAATAAAGATTATAACAACGTTGAACGTCTTTGAAACTCAGATAATTTACCTACTTACCATTTTAACCGACTTCGAAAAAAGGAGGAGGACTTTCTAGGTGAATCGATTTTGATGATTCTATTTTTATTTGAAAGCTGGTGCTTATAATTTATAAATGCCATATAAATTTGATCAAGATTTGACCAGTAGTTTTGGAATTATCTTTAATAATGCTAATACGCATTATATATATATTGAAGTCGGTTGTACAAAATGTTTAATTTCATTAGTTGTCTCTCTTCCTTTCTTTTTAAAAACCGAATCTCCACACTAGGATTTTCTCCTGTTTCGCAGGGAGTTAATTACGTAGAATAGACCCAGAACAATTATTTGTAGGACATAGAAATACATGTTCCGTCCGGGATTCGAACTCGCGGCCCTTAGCGCTGCAACTCATTACTTTGAAAGAGTGGCAATGAGAAGTGCTGCTATTTAAAATCACTTTCTTTTATCGTCCAGGTGTTAAACTAATAACTAGTATATGATGCATGAGCGTGATCTTGCATGAGTAGGCAGTCACTAGTACTGGGAGGTCTACTTACACTGAACGATTTTTAGTTCATTGGCATTATACGCGAAAAAGTAGAAAACTGCGAAGCTGTGGTCGGGTCGCTAATTAAATAATAAATCTGTAACTATGGCGTCAGTAACTAAGTACCTAATTGTCTAGATCTACCTATAAATAATAATATATCACCATTCGGTATCCTTAGGAACAGTAAAGAATGAAACGTCGACATTCCTATTGTTATTTAATCCGTATGCTATGCAGTACCTTTCGGCTTTTTGAGGGGCCATACAAGATTAAAAACTCAAAAATATTTTTTTTTATTGAATAAGGGTGACAAACGAGCCCACAGTCCACCTGATGGTAAGTGTTTGCTGTGGCCCATAGACATCTACATCTATCTTCAAAAAAAAGCTTTTAGAAAAATTTACTTCGCAAATAT